CCTCTGGCGTTACCATTGAAGCGGTTATTCATAGCCCCCATACCTGTCCCTCCATTACCCGTCGATCCGGCCATTTGTGAACTCTGAGCACTAGATCCAGCCCTGTCTGCAATCAAAGATTGTAAGAGTGATAAATAATTGAATATTAAAACTAACTTTGAGTCCTTTCTTCGTCCTCTTCACCAATGCATTGAGTGATTAATGTAACGATCACTACAACAACTATCACTAACTTTAGATTCTTATTCATATTTTTAAATTAGTTTTGTTTCGCAACTCATTTATTGCCCAAACATATGTGACTACAAGTTGTGAACAAAAATCCAAATTTATATGTTTTTCATATTTGTATTTAATGTCCTCTAAATTTAATTATAATTCATTGAAACGCAAATCTATTGTGAATAACCTATAAATTATAACACAAATAAAGTTATTATTTAGCTATTTGTGTGTAAAGTTGAGTAAATATTTCATGAATTATTAAATTCTTTCACAAAAACTACTTTTGGTCTAATTCTTTGAAAGTGAATCAATGATCATTAGTATTGCAAATAAATCCCATTTTTCAATATCCCATTTAGTAGGTCAGGGAAGGGAAGGGTAGGGTAAATGAGCATTTTTTAGCATAACAGTAAGCACTTTTAATTAATAGTAAAAGACTTAAATTCTTTATACATGAACTAATTAAGTTATGTTACGACATACATTATATACCTTAAATAAATAAGAATATTTAAGGTTAAATTTTTGGAACATTAAGTAAAATATAATACAATATACTGTAGAATTTTCAAGAATATTTAATAAATTTAAAATATTTAAAAAACTAAAATCTTTAGTATTTAAAATAATAATTGTTTTAATCAGATTTATGATTATAATGTATATTTCGTATAAATAAAAATATCTATTAGTTATTAACTTACAATAAAAGATCTATTAAATATCCAATAGAAAAAAACATGAAGATTTCATATTTTATAAAAACTTATCCTTTTGAAGCTTTAGTCTACTGTATGTTTGAATAAAAATGTGGATGGAATTTGGAGTCATACTCTAAATCAGGGCAAAATGAAGCCGGGAATAAGAAATTATAAATTCAAAAACTCTAATCCAATTCTAATTGAAACGATCGGAACGAAAGAATAACTTATGGTTTGTTACAACATATCCTGAAATTCAATGAAAAATCTTTATACAATTGATGCTATCAATGGGTTTATTTGAGTTAATCATTATTTTTATATCAAATCAATTAATTGTATTTTACATGTTTTCAGTTATAGTATTTTAGTAACAAATAAAAATTGAATGCTATATAACGAAAAATAAAGTTAGGAACAATTCGTAAATGAGTTTACTGTATTATATCATTTAATATAATTTTTAATTGTTTCATTGGCTATCAATGGATAATATATTACACATTTGAGATCCCGATTGAAAGTAATCTTTTGAACAGAGATTATAGACAAGTCCTAAAATACATGAAAACATTGATTAAAATGCAGTGTATTTAATAGCATTCAACAAATAATTAAACAACAATACTATACCTCCTGAAGCTTTTTCTATGAGCCCCATAACGGCCCGCTTCCCATCAACGCCGCATTTTTCTTGAACCAAACTTATTATTTAAATAAAATATTAATAATTATTTGTTTAAAATAAGTTATATAAAATGAAAACTGATGTGATTTAAATACCTGTCAATACAATCCTGCCATTGATTGAAAGCACAGCACCCGATGTTTATCATATCCATCATTGAGTTGGAATTCCTGGTCTTTTCAAACGCTTTCTGAAGATTATTAATACAAACAGTTTTGTATTCATTTGATTCTTTGACTGCTGTTTGGATACATTTCGAGTGTTTTATGTAATCTACAAATGGATTCTTATTATAATAAATGGACAAAAGTATGCTTTCTGAAGATTATTAATACAAACAGTTTTGTATTCATTTGATTCTTTGACTGCTGTTTGGATACATTTCGAGTGTTTTATGTAATCTACAAATGGATTCTTATTATAATAAATGGACAAAAGTAGAGCATTGAAAGAAATGGTGTCGTACTTTGTCTCACGGGTCCATCCGTACACATCTCACTCCAAGACTCATAGAACTGCTCTTTGCCTAATTGGTAGACTTGTTTGTGTGTGGGATGTGAACACCGATTGAAGTACTTATCCATGCAATTGATAACTTTGATGACAGCCCGACACATATTATCAAACTGATTGTGATCACCACTGGAATCGCTTGCATTCAAACTATGTGTGAAATAATAAGCTTTGTTCAAACATTGATCCAATGCTTTCAATTGACAATTCTTTTCTTCTTTTGGTTTTGTGTCGATTCGATAGACTTTCTTCTCAACACATCTCACTTCCAATACAAACACTACACAAATCACTGATACATTCAAATATTATTATTAAGTTATTTAGAGTAGAGTTGTAATACAAAAGTTGTTAAATTGAAGAATGCATTGTAAATTATTCAAACTAACGTAATAAGTTATTATGTAGCAATCTTATACTGTATTAAACTACCGTTTTTATCCGCTTTATAATACCCTGTAATATTATGTGAAATCCAGCAAAGGGGGGTAATACTATCTAGGTAGCATTACCTCCTATTTTTGGACCATTATGACAATTTACTAAAATTCGCTTAGTGTTACCCTATTTTCCCATATATTGATATAAGTCGAAGAGATAATATAAAACTACCTCAAAATCAAACAATATTAAGAAAAATATGCACAAATAAATCAATTCTACAATTTTATTCACCGGTACAGTAAATAAAACTTATAGTTTGACACTATAATCAATTATTACTTTATACTAATTAGACGACCAATAGATAAAACGGAATGTGTTCTCTCAAATTTTATTGAATGTAAAATTTTCATTGTATAATAAGTAGTTATAATCGGAAACATAGGGTATTGTGCAATATGATTTGCTATTTGAATAGTTGTTTTATTAAATTTCACATAGTATTACTGGTAATTGTATGTGAGTTTTAGTACATGGGGGTAATACTATCTAGGTAACGTTACCCCCGATTCTGAAAAACCACATTTGAACTGAAATTCACTTAGTATTACCGGTATTTTTATGCGGATAAAAACGGTAATTAAAAATAGGTTTTGTTAACTTTAAATTTAGTAAAAATATTATTTTGGATTTAATTCAATTTGCTTTCTTTTGTATTAACTATAATTCTTTAACTTTATATTTAATTATAACAAATTACTATTTTTATTATCAGAAAAAAGTTTACATTTTTAAAAAGTTTCAAAACTTTATGATTTCCGTATAACTTACTAATGTATAAATTTATACAAAAATACTGTAATACAGAAAAATATTTTTATTAAAAATGATTGAATACTCACTTAAAACCACGAGTCTTATCATGTTTAAGGATTTTTAAAAACTGTTAAAATACAAACTAAATTTCCATAAGATTTAGTATTTGACTTATGATTGATAGAAATGAATGAACGAAAATAATTGAGTATATCTTTTATATAAATAGCATTTATTGTTTCTTTTTTTAAACTTTATAAAGTACTAATCTTAAAATTTTTAGATTTCATTCAATCAACCGATTAGTTAACGCCTTAAATAATTATATACTTTAATAAGTTATTATTTAAATTGATTTTTCAATAAATATTAATGTATGTGAAAAAATTCAATTTCAAACTTATAATTAAATACAATTTAATTACTTTTTTTTATCAAAGCGACTGTCATTTCAATTATACTGTAAGTTTGAAAGTTTGCCTTTCATTACGAATTAATGTAAAAATTTAATTTGAAATCAATAATCAAATACAAAGTACTTATAATGATATGTTAATAACACTATATTAAAAATAATCTTACTTTAAAAAATACCGTTTTATAAACAATTATTTTTAATGCCTAAATATATGCAGGTTTTTAGTTAATTTGTCTTTAATGCTGTGTTTTGAATACTCATTGAATTATATTTTAGTAAAAAATTATAACTAAATGTCATTTTGTTTAAAATATAATGCAATTTAATATAAATTAATTACGGGATTAGAAGAGAAGAGAATGGGTTTCGAAATAAAAAGATTTGAATCAGATGTGGACGAGAACCTGATTTGTCAGATCTGTTGCAAAGTGTACGACAATCCAAAGTCGTTGAGTTCTTGCGAACACACCTTCTGTTTCGGTTGTTTAGAGAAGA